TGGGACCCTCGGCTGCCCCCCCAGCGGGGCTCTCGAGGGGCACGTTGACCGCTGCTCGTCCATCCATCCGCCCCCGCGGTAGCGGTGCGGCTCCGCGCTGCCCAGCACGTTTTTGTCGGGGCATCTCCGCGGTCCCCGGCGGCTTCGGCTCTCTTCGCCCCTTCGGGCGTCCTCATCGCATCCCCATTCTCTACTTTCTCCATTTGTCATCCTGCCGCTGGTTTTATTTCCATTCTTTCATCTCTTTCTAGCATTACCCTCGCGTTTTCCCCGTTTCCACCCACTTATCTTGCTTTTGTTTAGTTATTGCTGTGTGGATTTAGATTCCCTTCCGTTCCCTTCCCTAGCATGCTGAGAGAGAATGTGTTGTTTCTCCACAGACCCTTGCGGTCTCCAAAGCACATCCCCTATCTCCGTCTTCCAATCCTAGTTCATCCATCCACAATCTGTCAATAGAAATTATTGTAGTTATGTCTTAACTATGCAGGTTGCTTATATGAAAGAGAATTTTATGTGATAAAGGTATAAAGACCCAAACCACCCCAGTGCTACAGCTGGAACGTTCTGAATGCAGATGCTCTCTGAGCATGCAGAGTGATGGAGAAAGATGTAGGTTTCTAGATCTATGGCTGTAGGGGCAGGCGTGAAAGATGCATCTGAGGGGAGTCAGCGCATCAATAACCTGACAGGGTGGGAGAATCTACAAACATTCGAGGGACTCATGAGGGTCTTCAGGGAATGTGACACCTTAGGGTGCTTTCCGTGCTTTGGAAGAGGTAGAGCTACAGGGTGGGTGCACCACAGAGCTGACATTGGCAGGGGCATTTATTTGTGCTGCTCTGGTTCCATGGGGCCCGGTGGCAAGGAAAGGCCCCTTGTGCTCTGGACTCTCTCCCTTGTGAATTTGCACTCAGAAACATCTACCCACCTTTGGCAAATTATTTTAGATTTACAGGAGCTTTCTTGAAGCTGGTGGGAGTCTGTATCCTAAAAATATTCCCAAAATGTTTTTCTAATCTCCCAGAACTCATTTCCTGAGAAATCAGATTGGTGATTCCCAAGTTGCAGGTGGATGCAGCAAAGGATTTATCTCTCTTCCACCAGCTTGTTACCCCAGCAACAGGGTACATTTGGCATTTATAGCTGTGGATTCCCACCTCGGTGGTGTGGCGTATGGACTAGAGCCATAACAGAATGGAATCTGGTGGGCACAATGGAAGGGTGGGGGGAAACGTGGGCATTTGCACACAGGGAGGATTCCACCTGCATACTGAGCAGGATGGATGTTTCTCTGGATTTCCTACGCAATGCTTTATTATCTCGATCAATACGGTGATGGAGAAGTGCCAACCCATGCTCTTTGCTGCTACGCCAGGCTGGGTCTGCCTGCTCTGCCCTGCTGGGGCATCCCACACTGACTTGTGGCCCTGCCTACTGGCCCATCACCCACCTCTGGCAGCATCCCCTGGCCCCAAAATGTGGAAGGGTTTGGTTGTACTGGATAGTGTTCCTTCTGAGTCAACACACCAGGCCATGCCAGTATGGCATTTCAAAGGACACTGCTGCAGAGGATGGATTCACATATTGGAAGTAGTGCCCTTGAGGGGAATGGCTCTGTATCCTACTCCCCACCAGCTCTGAGCCATGCTCAAAGTGTTGCTGGGTTGTAATAAATCTTGGTCTCCAGGGGGTGGGAGAGTGGGGGATTATCTGGGAATGGGGGTTGTAACTAGGCCATGTAATATAATCTCTGAGGCCCATTTGGCAGGGAGTGGGCATGGGGGAGGGTTTTTTAATTTGTAATGATTTTCCTTCTCTCTCCCCTCCTCTCCTCTCCACTCCCCTTCCCTGCCCCCCACCCATTTATTTCTCCCTTTCCCTGCCCCGGAGCCTGTGTGATAAAGATTAATTTGCTATTTCTGGGCCTGTGACATTTTTCAGAGCCTCCTGCTGGCTGCTGCCTCCATGCCAAGCCTGGCTGGGCTCCAGCCAACAGGATTAGCAAGGAGGGGCCAAGGGAGTATGGTGCTCACCATGGATTGGGGAAGGAAGGAGCAAGGGACTCTCAGAGTAGGTTATTATGTGTGTAGGATGGCTGACTGAAAGTGTACCTGAGTACATGTGTGTAGGTTCTGGGCCTTAGTCCAGAGGATGCAAGGCAAAAGGAATAATGGCTGCATGCAAGACTTGGCCCCTGCGGACACCCGAAGGGAAGATGTAGCCTGGATCCTTTAATTATGGCTTCATTGAGCTAAAGGATTTAGCATTTGGAGTCTGTTTCTAGGATCAGTCTACTTCTGCCTTTTGAGTTTACATTTTTTTAGCTGCTCCAGCTTTCCTGTGCACCCAGATGCCTCCACACATATTTCTGATAAGACAGTCGTGAGGAGACCAGAAAGAACACATTGTTTCTGATGAGGTCTCCTAAGAGTAGAAATAAATAAAGATAACTTCTTTCTCCCAACCTATTTTAGACTTCTTTATTTCCAGAGAAGAAGGTGGGAAGGGGTGGTTGTTACTTGTCACTGGGTGATATTCTGCTCTTTTCCTTTTTACTGAATCTGCCATTGGTGGTTAATTCATTCCTGTCCTCTGTCCCTTACCCTAAATCCACCTCAGCGAACAAGCACAAACCCTGGATTGAAGCTGAGTATCAGGGCATCATCATGGAGAATGACAACACAGTTCTGCTCAACCCACCGCTGTTTGCACTGGACAAAGATGCTCCACTGCGCTATGCAGGTAGGTGGGAAACAGCTCGGGGAAGGGTGAGAGGCAGGGAGAGACTTACGAAGAGGCAAAGACAGGGTGACATTCATGCCTGTGCTGAATCCTAGCTCTCTCCAGGAAATGATCACCTCCAAACCTTGTTCCGGAGGAGGTCCCTAGTGAAGTCTGGAGACAATTTGAGCACAGCTTGATTTAGGATGCTGTGAGCTGTTTCCTTAGGAAGAGAAACTGAGGGTGGAGCCAGCTACTTTTTGACGCAGTTCTGCTATTTCCAAAGATCACATGCACAGCGCTGTAAGCCCTGGAGAAAGCTGGTAGGGCACACTTTGTTGGCAGTGCTACATCCCCTCACAGTAAGCACAAATCCCTGAAACAACAGATGAGGCTTTATAAGGGTTGTATTCCTAGTGCTTGCTTAAGTCATACCTGGAGATTCCTCATGCATCCTCCCTTGGCTTTGAGAGAGGAAAAGTGGTCCCTGTCAGCTGAATTTTAGGATTTAGGTGACCCTATCTGCATTTCCCTGCGGTACTCCTATGTGTGTGGGTGGATGAGGCATCGTGGATCTTCATGCTCTGGCTGTCTATCTGCAGTATATGGCCTGTTTTGTGTCCCTGAGGGATGCAAAGAAGAAATAAGGTGGTGCCTCAGTGCTGTGGCCGTGTAGCACTAATGTAGTTTGAGCCTTCTAAGCTCTGATCTTTCCTGATGCTGGTCAGTACTCCTTGGCGTGGGAGTAGTCTCCAGTAGATGGCAATCTGCACCATTTATGGCTCTAAGGCATGGCCTGAGGAGCTCCTAGGGAAATAAAAATTGCTCAAAATGGTGATAATGAAGGAGAATGGAGAGTGTAAGTTAGAAAGGAAGGAAATATTGGAAAGGAAAGCAAGGGGTGTAATGTAGTGTCCTCAGTCCTTTTCTTTCTCCCCTTCCTCTCTGCTTTTGTGCATACCAGGTGAAATCTGTGGCTTCAGGATCCATGGGTCAGGAGTACCTTTTGAAGCTGTGATCCTGGACAAAGCTACAGGTGAGGGGCTGATCCGGGCCAAGGAACCAGTGGATTGTGAAGCACATAAGGAGCACACATTCACCATCCAGGCTTATGACTGTGGAGAGGGACCTGATGGAGCAAACACCAAGAAGTCACACAAGTAAGTCCATGCAGTCATTGCCGTATGTTAAAAAATGTGATCTGTCACAGAAACACAAAGAAAAACTGCTGTGAAAATGCTTCCTTTAGTCAGAAGTATTTTTCTCTAGCTGTGATACTGTAACTCAACATGTTAAGAAGACCCAAAGAGAAATGTTCACTGACTGTCACATGAGTGAATACTCTAGAAATGAGGGCTGTTTGGCAGTAGTGTGTAAAGATGGTGTTTTGTGTTGCCGAATATAGGCAGGTGGTCCAGATTGCATTATTATTCCTTTTGCTCTTTCTTTGGGATTGGAAACCATGGTCCAGGCTCCTGTGTGCCAGTATTACTGCATTGAAACAAAGGTCTCTTTCCTTGTCCTTGCTTTTGACAGCTGCAAAGCAGACTGGTATACTTTAAGGGACTGATTTGCTCTGAAACTTAGGTGGTGTATGACTCCTAATCAGCCCATCCGTTCTTACTGATGTCTCTCTGCATCAGGGCCACAGTGCACGTTCGAGTAAACGATGTGAATGAGTTTGCTCCCGTCTTTGTGGAAAAGCTGTATCGTGTGGCAGTGACGGAGGGAAAGCTGTATGACCGCATCTTGCGTGTGGAGGCCATTGATGGAGACTGCTCACCACAGTACAGTCAGATCTGCTACTATGAGATCCTGACCCCCAATATTCCCTTTCTGATTGACAATGACGGTAAGAATCCATATCTACCATCTGCACATCGGTCCCTCTTTCCTGTGTTGCTCCTTCTCTGCCAGTCTCATTTGCAGGCAGAGCTCTGCTCTAGGAATTTTCTAGCACTGCTGATCCATCCTGGTGCAGAGAAGCTGCAGCCGTTTTGTGGGATAGTATTGCTTGTTACAGAGTGGCACTGGGCAGGGGTACTCAACTGCTTTTTGGTTGGTTTTGTCATTGATCAAAAATAAGAGTAATTTTTAGAAGGAGCATCTTTGAGGTGACTGCCTTTCCTCTTCCTTGATCTCTTTGTTTTGCTATCCAGGGAACATTGAGAACACGGAGAAGCTGCAGTACAGTGGAGATCGTGTCTACAAATTCACGGTGACAGCCTATGACTGTGGAAAGAAGAGGGCTTCTGATGATGCTGAAGTGGAAATCCAGGTGAAACCCACCTGCAAGCCTAGCTGGCAGGGTATGAAACCTCCAAACAGCTATGTCTTCCCTTTCCTTTTCCTTAACTACTACTCAGTCCTGCTCATCGCAAATGTTCATATATACACATATAAATTTGTATGCCTAAATATATGGTTCAGTTTTGGCACCAACCTATCCCCAGCAGGGGATGCAGCAGGCATCTAAGCCTGTTGCAAAGCCACTGAAAGGCAAATTCTAACACTGGAAAGTCATTCCTTGGATTACTCTGAGCTACTATGTGTTTGATAAGGCTCATAGACTGTATTCAATGTAGATTGTGTTGGGGGCTGCTCATCTTGAGGATATTTGGCTTTTCCAGAGGTGTTGTGTGCCTGCAGGTTTACATTAGTCAATAGAAATAAGGGGAAATTGACACAGCTAAATACCTGCTTTGCCTGATAAAAGAGGTTGACCAACCAAGGAGTGATGCCGTACCAGTACTAGCTGTAGAAGCTGAGAACTTGGACTCTGTGCTTCTAGGAAATCTTCCCTTGCACTAATGCAAGGGAAGGAAAAGGCCAAAAATCTCTGTTTCTAAGTGAGTCCATAGATGCCACTTGTGTGTGTGCCAAGTGTTTTGGCCTTGGGTCCTTGGCAGGGCCTAACCCTTCTCTTTCACTCCTCTTCATTAGGCTGGAACAAGAGGATTGAGTACACTCCAGGTGCAGGCAGCCTCGCGCTCTTCCCCACCATTCACCTGGAGACCTGTGATGAGCCTCTGTGGAACATCCAGGCCACGGTGGAGCTGCAGACAAACCACGTGGCCAAGGGCTGTGACCGTGATAACTACTCCGAGAAGTCACTGCGCAAACTCTGTGGTGAATGGTTCTTTCCTGGTCTTGAGGGCAGCTGTGGCACAGCACCCTGCCTCTTCCTCTGGAGATGTTCACAGTGGTAGCTCTGTGCCTCTCACAGCAGAGATGCTGGGGGACACAGTCCTCACATCTGCTGTGGTCAGTGGGGCTGGGAGGACACTTAGCTCGCATGACTGGTTGAGGAGTAATAGGCATTTCTGTCCTTATTTCATAGAATCTCAGAATGGTTTGGGCTGGAAGGAACCTTAGACATTCTCTAGTTTTAGCCCCCTGCCATGGGCTGGGACCTTGTCCACTAGACCAGATTGCACAGAGCCCTGTCCAGCCTGGCCTTGAACACTTCCAGGGATAGGGCATCCACAACTTTCTTGTTTTATAAGGGGCTACTTGTGCTTTCCTTGCTGGGAAGCCAAGGATTTCTGTGCATTGCCCCAGTATACACAGTCTATGGGACTTCCCTCAGCACAGATGGAAAAGTCACCATCCTTCCCCAGATAGAAGGCCTATGGGCAAGCCCCTATCTCCCTGTGCACTGGGACATTACAACGAGCCCTCTAACACACTCTTTATCTGTTCTTCAGTTCTTGAGCTCCTTATTCTCCTGTGCTGACATTGCTGACTCCTTCCCTTCTTGGTAGGTGCTGCTTCAGGAGAGATTGACCTGCTCCCAGTGCCTAGCCCCATGGCAAACTGGACTGCGCGGCTCTCGGTGCACTACAGCCAGGACAGCAGCCTCATCTACTGGTTCAATGGCAGCCAGGCTGCCCAGGTGCCTGTGGTGAATGGGCCGAATGCCCATGAGGGGCTGAGTGACCACTTCACCCTGTCTGTATGGATGAAGCATGCCGTGGTGCCTGGCAAAGGCAGGCGGGAAGAGGAGACTGTGATCTGCAGCACAGTCCAGAGTGGTGAGACTCTTTTCCTGGGATGGTGACACTTCTGCCCACTGCCCCTAACTTGTTAGAAAGGATTGTCCCTGCAGGGGTAAATCTCTTGTGTTCTGGAGCAAGACCTGGGCAGGGATCCCTCCTTAGCTCAGGTGACATTTTTTCTGGGAGTGGTCAAGCCTGATGTGAGCATATGGTGCTGAGTGCCAGTCGTGCAGGGTAGCATGGGCTTCTGGGTTCTGGCTATGAGACTGCTTGGAGGTGTGACCTGTAACTCCCTGTGCTTGTCCCTGGCAGAGGATGGCTACTCACACTATTCACTGACTGTGCATGGCTGCCGGATCGCTTTTCTCTACTGGCCATTGCTGGAAAGTGCAAGGCCTGTGAAATTCCTCTGGAAGCTTGAACAGGTGAGTAAGTTTTTGCCTCGTCCCCACATCCTTTCTCCTTCTGCCCTTTGCTTATTCCTCCCTTTGCTGTCTGCTGTAGGTCTGTGATGATGAATGGCACCATTATGCCCTCAACCTGGAGTTCCCCACTGTCACACTCTATGTGGACGGTGTCTCTTATGACCCTGCCCTCATCCACGACAATGGCCTCATCCACCCGCCACGGCAGGAGCCCTCACTCATGATCGGAGCCTGCTGGACTGGTGAGTGCCCACTCCCCAAACCATGCTGTTCCCGTACAGAAAGCAAGAGGATGGAAGGAGAGCCAGAAAAGGTGAAAGAAACACCACCTAATACTAAATGATGCAAACCACATTGCAGCTCTCTTGTCTCCTTGGCACCAAAGCCAATGAGGCTCCTTCCTTCCTTAGGGACCAAGGTAATAACAGCTCAGGGAAAAGTGCCACTGATAGCTTCATGGACAACAGCTGTAGAATATGCAATGGATAACCAGCTTTTGGGCAGAGGAGAGTTGGAACTCTGTACCTCATTCAGGCACTGGCATTTCTATCAAAGCCTTTCACCAGAAAGCAGGCAGTACTATTTATGCTGCTGATTGTATTGATGGGGATTTCTGTGTCTTGAGGGTCTGTATGAAAGAGGCACAAATCATTCTGTACAGGAATTGGGTTGGAAGATAAAAATCAGATTAGGAACAAAGTTAGACCACTACCAGATTAAAACCTGTTCTGTGGACATGTTAGGCTGCATATCCCAGGTCTTTCAGTTCTCCTGCAAGACTGAAGCAGGACAAAATGAAAGGAATTTGCCTGCTGCTTGCCTTCACTCTGGCAGAAATTTCTAGCAAGATCACATCTTTACTGTAGTACTGCTTCTCCCAGGTCGGAGATCTTCCCACAGCTCTGTGCTCCTGATTGGCTTTTTTTGCAGACAACAAATTATTAATCAGCTTGGCACCACCTTCTGGAACCATCTGAGTTTCAAAGGGGTGTTGAGAATGTGGCTTGTTGTGAACATGGCTAATTCCCAAAATAGATAACATTGGGAAATGATTAAGAAAACCAAATTCTATGCTTTCTCCCTTAAATCAGTTACTTGTCCTGCTGTCTCACCATCCCCTTCATGAGAGGGACTTCGGCCTTGTTCATCTGTGATGTACTGTCTCTAGGGTTGAAGGGTGCACTACTTGGTACAGAGCTGTTCTTTTGGACTGGCCAGTACAGGCACTTGTATAGGCACTTGTATAGGTACTGCTTTCCCCCTGTAACTACCATATTCCAATGCCTTATTGGTTGTCTGGATGCTCTTTTGCAGAAGAGAAAAACAGAGAGAAAAACAAAGGAAGTGAGAACTCTACTGATAACATACAAGGTAGGGAAAAGAAAGAAGATAGTTCGCTTTCCCTCTTGACTGTGCATGACTATCACTTCTTGCATGGTGCCTTCCCTCATACAGCTTCCCCAGTATTGTCCTGCCACCTCCCACTGTCTTGGGAGAAAACCCCTTATTTGGCAGATGGTCCTTGATACCTGTGGAGCATGAAAAGGCTGACGGAAGGACTGCAGCCTGCTTTGAGGGAGAGAGTATGCTTTTCATATGGAGAAAGATTCCTCATGCCTGATCATTAAAGCTAGTCTCTGAAGAACACAATAGCCATTAGAGACATCAGAAGATGTCACCTCATCCCTAACTATCTATGGAATGTATAGTTTCTTTTACAAGCCCTCACAGGAAGCAGAATGAGAAGGGGACAAGAAATTGTTTCCGTCTGGCATTCAGCAGTTTGGCAGAAACTTCTCTATGCTACCCATCATTCACTGCCCTAGTCTTTCTGTTGGTCTGTTTTTCTTGCTTTCCCCCATCTGGAATTCAAAAAATCATCATCCTCTTTCTTCAACATCCTCTGTCTTCTTGTTGTCTTTGCTTTTCCGTGTCCTGTGCAACCCTCTGTCTCTCTCTCCTTGCCTTAACATCTGTATGTCTCTCACATTATTGCTTTTGTTGTCTAGGCTTTTCCATGTCCATGCACCCCTCTGTCTCTCTCTACCTCCTTTACATCTGTATGTCCCTCACACTGTTGCTTTTGTGTTTTTGCTCTTTTCCTCGCCATGTCTCTCACACCCTCCACCTCCCATGTTTCCCTCAGGAGATCCTCTGTCGATACACCACTACTTCCATGGTTACTTGGCTGGCTTCACTGTGCGCCCTGGTAGCTTGGAGAGCCGCGAGGTTATTGAATGCCTGTATGCCTGCCGTGAGGGGCTTGATTACAGTGACTTCGACAGTCTGGGCAAAGGGATGAAGGTATGCCCATCTGCCCAGCTTGCATGGGTCTCCTCCACTCTCCTCCCCAGCCTTGCTTCCCAGGACTTTGCCTGCTTCCACACCTCAGACACCTCCCCACCTTTCTCCTTTGTGTCTCTCTTAGCGTGGTCTCTTGGCATTTGCCAAGAAACCCTGAGTATTTTCTTCTCTTCCACTTGTAGGTTCATGTGAACCCCTCTCAGTCCCTGCTGACCTTGGAGGGTGATGATGTGGAAACCTTCAACCATGCAATCCAGCACGTGGCTTACATGAACTCACTGCGCTTTGCTACTCCTGGGGTCCGTCCACTCAGGCTCACCACTGCTGTCAAGTGAGTGGGTAAAGCAGCACCTCTGGCTAAGTGCAGCAAGAGGGTTACCTTTCTTTTGACTAAAATTGCACTCATTCACCTTGTATTTTAATTCTAATTGATGGTCTCAAAATGGGTCAAAGTCTTCCTGAAAAGAAATATTAAAGTATCCAATACCCAAAATGGATACTATATTACTGATTCTTGGAATCTGTCTAGGTAGCAGAACTTCTGCCTTCACTTGTGGTGTTCCAGGCATGTGGGCTGGTTTTAATTTTCTGTGGTGTGTGGATGTGACCTGTTTCAAGTCACCTGAAACCCAGTGGTGTCATTTCTACCACACGTCTCTCTGTCTTGCACAGCAGGCTATAGGGAAGCTTTAGGAAGACTACCAGAAAAGGGATGTTCTCTTCACTGGAATTAATGGGCAGGAGGTGTTCTTTTATAATAATATTGTTGCTGGTGGAAGCTTGGGCCAACTAATGCTTTCTACTGCTCTCCTTCAGGTGTTTCAGTGAGGAGTCTTGTGTCTCCATTCCTGATGTGGAAGGCTATGTTGTGGTGCTACAGCCTGATGCCCCCCAGATCCTGTTGAGTGGCAGTGCCCACTTTGCTCATCCTGCATCAGACTTTGAGGCTCCTGATGGGATCCCCCTGTTCCCCAACCTCCAGATCACCTGCTCTATTTCTCACCAGGTGGAGGCCAAGAAGGATGAGAACTGGCATGGTACTGGTGAGTGGAGTACAGGGTGAGGCATGAGACAAACTGAAAAGACCTGCAAGAGTTGTGGTCCTGCAGAGGAAGTAGAGCCCCTATAATTACACCTGAAAGAGAGAGTTTACAAATATAGAAGCAAGGCACATTGTCTGTCAATATGTAGGCTAATCGGTTCTTATCCCTTTCTGCTCCTCCCTGTACTTTTTCTATCCACCCAGTTCCTTTGCCTCACTCTCTCCTCATTCTTTCCCAGCCTACTCATTCCTAATCCCTTTTACATTTTACCTACATTTCTCTCTATTGAATCCAGCACTGGATGATGTACTGCCTGTTACCCTCTTCACCCCTGCACTTAGTCAATCTCCTCCTACTTCCTTCTCTTCTGCTTTTTCTCCTTATTTCTTGCCCTCTCCCATCTCTTCTTGTCTCTCTTATTCCTATGAATTCTCCAGTCAGTTTCTTCACACCCTGTAATATCTTGTTCTTCAATTTCTCTCCATCATCCTCAGATTATTTGTATGCATGACATGTCCTTTCACTTCTTTCTCTTCTGGTAATGGGATTTTTTGCTCCTAGTTTTCTGTTCAGAAGCTTTGTCTTTCCTCTTACAATGATGAGTTCCTGGACTTAGAGCAGATTGGTCTCAGTCCTCCTGAAAGCAGTTAGTTATTGAATGTGATTGCCATTTCAAAGAGGATCTTGGCTATGGTAACCCGCAGTCATGAGGCAGGGAAAAGCTTTCAAAAACATGTAGGGCCTGGGAATGTGTGAGCGTTGTTCCTAATCTGCACATTGTCAACGGAGTCCTTACAGCCAAGATGTGTTATCATGAAACAGTCTGATAATAGTATGTTTTTCCAAAATAAAGTGACTTTATTATGTGCATAAATAATGTAATTAGAACCACATGGACTCCTGCAACAAGTAATTGGACTGACAGTGATTTTACTCAAGGTCAGTGCTAGCCAGAGGAGAAGTAATTGTGTATGACGTGAGCACTTTTAAGTACCACTCTGAGTAACTCCTGGCTTCACTAATGGCTGTTTGGCTTTCTGGCCATGTCTTCTTTCCATTTGCATCTCAGTGACAGACACACGAATGTCAGACGAGATTGTGCACAACCTGGATGGCTGTGAGATCTCATTGGTAGGAGATGACTTGGACCCAGAGAGGGAGTATCTGCTCCTGGATGGGGCACTGCTGCAGCAGCGTGGCCTAGAGGTTGTTAACACCTCTGCCTACCTGACCATCACAGGTACGTCTTTTCCTTGGTCTTGGCTGTTTAATTATGCCTCTCTCACTGCCTGTCAGGCATCACCGGGAGAACCGCTTAACCTGGCGTTAGAGATGTGTTGGTGTATTTTGTGACACTCTGAGATGTAACCATTTGTTGAACTCCTGGCTTTTGAAAGTCCCAGGCCATGTCCTTGAGGAGGTGGCTTCTCCTCCAGCATATAGTACTGGGTAATGGTGTCTGAGCTCGCACCCAGGTTTGTATCACTCCTCCTGGCTTACTTCTTGGGGTTTGGTGTTCTCAGGTGTCAGCAGAAGTTTGTGTGACATGACTGCGGGACAGCACATCCCACAGCTTGTGGACTGGTACAACGCTATTGTACTCTCCAGAACTTAACAGGGCAGTTGTTCTTGATTCTTCCTTCCCTTCCACTTGTTTTAGCAATGCAAGTGGGGATTTCATCAGGTTCTTAGCAGCCAGCTCCATCTCCAAGCCCTTCCTTAGATTAATGAATACAGCATTGCCTTGGGTCTCTCTATAGCTTCTTAGTTGCTGCAGGATTATTATGTCAGATGACTTTGAAGCAGGAGCTTCCTCACTCCACACCCCACACCAATTGTCCTCATTTCAGGTGTGGAGAGCATTGCGGTTTATGAGGAAATACTACGCCAGGTCTCGTACCACATCAACCATGGTGCTGCTCTTTATGAAAGGAAGTTTCACCTGTCCTGCACTGAGATGAATGGACGCTACTCCAGTAACGAATTTACTGTTGAGGTACAAGATCAATACATGCACATACTCTGCATGCATGAAGAGGACATGGTGGGTGGGAATAGACACAGCACAGTATGTACCATGAACACAGGGGTAACTCCTTCTCACTCTGGTCTTTCTGCAGGTGAATGTCCTCCACAACATGAACCGAGCTGCTCATCCTAACCATATGCTGAGTTCACAGCAGTTTGTGCACCGAGGTCATCATTTACCCCCAGAACTGTCTGGGCACAGTTTGGCAAGCACCCATAACAACCCAAGTATGTAACACTATCTTTTGGGCTTATTCCTTTAGGTCAGGATGCTCATCTTCTGATATCCTGGCAGAACCTATAGCAGAGGATTCCTTTCAGGTTCCCTGTATCTCATTATACTGTCCTGTCCCACCTGACATATGCCAATGGACTGCAGTCTGTGTCAAATTTTGTCTTAGAGCACAGTGCAACAATCCTCCTCTCGTGGTGTATTGTTTTCTTGATGTAGAAGCAGTCCAAAAACACTTGAGAGGTAAAAGAACAACCATAAGATGGATGGTTTAATTCATGTACCTTGCAAATGTGCTATACAGGCTATGTAAAGTAATTTCAGAAAGAAGCTTCAACAGCAGGACAGAAACAATTGAATCAAGACTGCCACTTCTCTGAAAAAAAAGATGGGACTAAGTGGTGGTTTGCAAAGCAGAAAAATACAGGAGATGGCATCACACAGACAAGAGGATTCTTGCTCCCAAAACAGAGGAAACCTAGACTAGATGTTGGTTTGTGTTGACAGCCCTGTGCCACAAGCATGACCACAGTCCAATAAGCTCCTGTTAGGCTGTGAAAGCTCCAGGACTTGTTACAGACAGTTTGGTCTCATGTTGTAGGGAACAAACAAGGCAGCCTTCTGCAGCAGCTGATCCCAAGGTGGTCCAGTCCTGCAGCTGGCACTGCAGGGACAGCCTATGTATATGGCAGCCTTTGCCACTCCCTTGCCCAGCTCTGCCCAATCGCAGCAGAAAACTTGTCCCTCTTGCACAGAACCACCCATAACAAATCCATGGAGGGCCTGGATAGATTTTGCAGGGAAGGTCATTTTCCAGGGAGTTAAGGCTCAGACTACAGGCCTAAAACAGACATGTGGGAGTTGGGGTAAGGGTCTTAGATGAATTTCAAGTTTTCTTCTGTGGAGAAGCCAGGCTTTTACCATGGCACTAATTAGAAGCTCATCATAGCTTTCACACTGTCTGCCCCATGTGCAATGCAGGCATCTTTTGGCTTCCTGCTTTCTCTACTGCTTACACAGAAATCACACCCTCTGACAATCATTCTTAAGCCCTTAAAGGCTCTCCCCAGCACACATTTCTCTCTCCCAAGAGGGGGATACAAATAGTTGCTGGTGAATTCTGGAGACACAGATGTGCAGAGCCTACAGGCCAGTCCAACATCAGAGGATGCCTGGACCTAGGCATCCTGGAAAACCATGCAGGCCTCAAGAGAAAACACAGCAGCTGTGGGCAGGAACTGCCTGTACGCAAGGGAGCAAAAAAGTCAGGACATGTTTGTGCCCAGACCAAAAACCCAAGTTCTGCCCAGGAATCTCAGTTCCTGCATGTCAGGTTGGAAATGCGTGTTTCTGTGATAGACTCTAACCACACCTTCTTTCTTTCTTCAAAGTGGTCCCCAGTGCTGCCACTGTCATCATTGTGGTGTGTGTGGGCTTCCTGGCACTTATGGTGATCCTTGGCATCCTGCGCATCCACTCCCTGCACCGACGGGGAGTGGGGCAAGAGGTCCCTGGGGCTGCTGAATCAGGGCACACCAGTGCTGGAGGCAAAGAGAGTGACATGTTCTGGGATGACTCGGCTCTCACCATCATAGTCAACCCCATGGAGGTGAGGAGCAGCCACAGTGGCTGGGGCTGGGCGGGCAGCTGTGTTGCCAGATCCTTCCCTTTACCCCTGTCTCAACTCCCCAGTCCTACCAGAGCTGTCAGGAGAGGGCAGCAGGAAGCAGCAAGGGCAGAGCTGGTGAGGGCATGGAGGATGATGAGGACAGCACCGACTCGGAGACACCCGACTCCCCGGACAGCAATGACGTGGATGATCAACACATCATCGGCAAAAGCAATGTCTCTCACCGCTACTAGGAGCTTTAAAACACCAGTCCAGTGGATCTCCCCTAAACATATGGCTGGAAGGAAGAGGTGTCTTACTTTAACTTCTTCCTTCCCCCACCGTGTACACATGTGCTCCTCTCTCATTTGTCATTTCTGCCTCCCCTGTTCCTTCATCTTCTGCCATTCTCATTGTGGACATTACCCACATTATTGACCCCCCATCTGGCTCTCTAGAAACATGTGTTAAGGGCACTTACACATGATTGTGGTACAGTTTGAACTATGATGCAGAAGGAGGGGCTTGGAAAGAACAGAAATTTGAAGGGTGGAGCCAGCCATAGGGCTCAGAGTGGGGTCTCTCACTCCCTCTCCCCAGATTATATATATATATATTGTATATTTTTTCAATGTTGTCATTTGAGGTTTATTCTCGTTTCATGCAAAAAAGCCCAAACAACCAACAAACCACTGCAGCTTGTGTCGCTTTGTAAAATTGTCAATACTCCTGAACTAAATGAATGAAGGTAAGAAGGATGAGGAAACAAAGTGGATTTTAAAATAAATGGATTTCAAATAAAATATTCAGGGCTTCTGCAGTTTTTCACTACAAGCAGGGAAAGAAACAGTAGCCTCTACGGTGAGGCTGGAGGTTGCCCAGAGCATGTGTTTACTGAAATTACTGCCTTATCTTGGGGAAGGGTTACATTTTTTAGCATATGTGTTGAAACAAAAAACCCACATAACTCCTGACCCTATTCCCCTGCCTTCTGAGAGTCAAAATACTCTTTGTAAACACAATGTAGCCTTCCCCAGGACACAGGGCTAGGAACCCACAGAGGAACAGAAGGCACCCAAGCCTGTTACAGGCAAATGTAGCACATGCAGCAAACTGAATTATTGATTACAGGAAAAAGGCTCTTTCCATACACTTTCATTTCATCTAAAGAAATAGGCCAAATCCTCAGCTTCATCCATCTGCCTTCCTTACCAGCATGAAAGGGTATTTTTCATACCAGGGGTTCCGACTTGTAGAAGAGCCCCAGCACTTCTGAGGGAAGGAGGTGTCCTCCTCTTTCTCTTGAGAAAGGAGGGGATGGAAACACAGCAGATACTGGCAAAGCACGTCTCTGAGCCCAGCAGTAGCATGAATTGTTAAGGTAGTGCTTCATAGCAGGTTGTGCTTCTTCCCCTGATCTACTTGGTCTGATTAGTCAGAGCCTGCAAGACGAAATGGGGGCTATCAGCTGCTTGACATGTCTTGGGGCAATGGCTGCACCATGTTAAGGACCCAAAGGAAAATTCTGCAATTTGCTGGCAGCCAAGGTTGAGAAATACTCCTTTAGGGGCAAGAAGGCAGCACAGCAGGTGAGAGTGGAAGAGCTCATCTGAGGGCATGAAAGGTTGCAGCACAAGATCTCTTCTTGCTGCGGTTCTCTGAGATGTCTCAGCTCTAGTCTGTCTTCATGTCCTGCTGTGCCCATGTATGGTTGTTACTGGGTCCAAAAGAAGTGAATATGCTGATGCTAAGATACTCTTATGCTTTCTGTTCTGTCTTCTTCCTAGTAAGTTCAATGCCCTTGTTTCATACCAGGAAATTTACAACAGGCACTGTCAAACCAGTGCCCTGACATCTTGAAGCACTGGAATAATTCAAGTCTCCAGAAAGAAGAAAGGCTACATTGTGCATGTGGAGAAAAAAAACTTGGCACAAAATAGTCTTATGTCCTGAGAATGCCTGACCCAGTTCTGACCTGTGATGAAAAGCACCACCTATCAGAGCACTGAAAAAGACCAGGTCTCAGGACCATGAGTCCCTGTACCTCTACAGCAGCCTCAGCCAGGTGCTACAGCATGCTTACAAGGTGGAAGAGGCCAAATATACAATGCCTTCATAGGTAGCCATCATGATAGCTGCGTTTGGGATCTGGCGGATCAAATGAGCCAGGAGCCCTCGGTATAATGCTGGGGGTCCCTCTTCATGGACCACAAGCTGCAGAGTCTGTAGAAAGGAACGGTATCGTGACCCTTCTTCTCGCAACCGTGTCCGAATGACTTCTGGAAAGACAAGAAGGAAAGCAATATGTTAGCAGATAGATCCTCCCATCAAAGGTAACAGAAGCAAGGAGAGTGGACTCACTCACCATGTGGATATGCAATGCATGAAGCACATGCTTTGGAGACAGCAGCAGCACCCATTAGTCCAAAGAAATCATGGTTGTTTGTTGAAAGTGTGAGTGGTGGGGAATGGGAAAGATGGTTGTTTCTCAGCTGCTGTTTCAGTGCTTCATAGATGACAAAGTGTATGATGGTCTCTGACACTCCAGCATAGGAGGCAGTGATACCTCGGTAAAATCCACGAAAGCCTTCAGTGCGGTACACGTGCATGGCACATTGGAGAGCATTGCTGGCCATCTCGCCCTTCACCCTGTAAAGAGGAGCGAGGGTTAGAACAGCACACTGCTCCGCTGACCTAGAATGCAGTTGTGAACACAACTGTAAGACTCTTCCTCAGCATGTCTTGAAGACATGTTCTGATGGCAAGTCACAGACCCCTCCCTACCCAAGCCCGCTCCCAAACCAGTCCTGATGTGATGTGGAGTGGCTCTGCATTGCTAGCCTGCTTTACCTGGCTTCCAGCTGCATCCTGGTTTTCACTAACCAGATTGGGTTGGTGAGTGTGGCCGAGCTAATGCCTGGAGAACAGAAGAGGAAGACAGCCATGAGCACCAGGATCACGCTGACAGTGCGTGATGAGGTGGTGATCTATCAGCTCTCTGAATTCTGCTTGGCAAGCTGCAGGCATTTGCAATTTGAGAATGACCTTGAGAAGAGATATTTAGGGCAGACTATTTGATTCTCCTCCTCCCCCATTCCAGCCTTTGTCTGGTGGTAATTAGCTACTCTGCCTCCAACAAAACGCTACTGCACACCCTGGTGTTACAAAGTGGCAGGAAACAACGGGCTAAATTTGCAAGAGATGAGGATTTTGTTAGAGAACTGGCACATATCATGAGAAATGATTCTGTGAGTGGTCTAAATTACACATTGCCTTCTTCCTCTCATGGCTGAATGCAGTTCTTTTCCTGATAGCAGCTGAAGGGGTAAAGACTAGACTTGAAGAAATGAGCCTAAGAAGAATGAAGAGTGAGAAAATATTTTGGTTACCCAAGGAACTCACTTCTCTAGGTGTGAGAAAACTTCAGAGAGTGAGCAGGACTGATGGGAACAGCAATGGAGAAGGAATGAAACCTGTTTACACTTGCAGACAGAAGGATCCCTTGGCTCCTTGAAAAAGAAGAGGCTCACCTGCACAGGTTGCTGCTAGTATGTGTACTTTCTTGGACTCCGGTACAAGGACAGCATTGAGCCTCTCCTTAGCACTAGAATAGGCAGCAAAATATATAGCCCTGGTTGGAAATAAATACAAAAGAGGTTACAGCTCACCTATGAGGAGCAGAGACACTGCTGTGGGGTCTCATTCCAACTTTTCTTACTTCCCACACAAGTTAGTCTAATGTGACATCAGGTCCTATTTATACTAGGCCCACAGCAATCATCTTCTCTTAATACTACGATCAGAAGCTCCAGAAAACATCTGTGTGAAGGGGCACATGGGCACAAGACCCAGACTGCTTTCAGAATATGGAGCAATGGCTATCACAGAGGTCCTTTGAAAAGCGTACAGCATCAACTATCCTCAGGGAGCAGTACTCACCGTGAAGGAGCCACCCCAGCGAGGTTTGGACCCAGACCTCGGAACAAGGATCGCAGGCCTTCCTTCTCAAGGATGGCCCTACAGAAGGAAATGAACAGAGAAATCAGCAGAATAACTAAGGTGAGGGCTCTCCTGTTTCTCCTCTTTCTTTGTTCTTCAGCACTTGTAGCATCTTCTACTCACTTCACATGTTATCCTTTTTCTGCCCTACTCTCCTTGGCTTTCCAACCACTTCTCTCTTCTTCAGTCATAGAATCATAGAATGATTTGGGTTGGAAAGGATCTTAAAGATCATCTAGTTCCTAACCTCTGCCATAGGCAGGGACACCTTTCTGTTTCTCCTCTTTCTTTGTTCTTCAGCACTTGTAGCATCTTCTACTCACTTCACATGTTATCCTTTTTCTGCCCTACTCTCCTTGGCTTTCCAACCACTTCTCTCTTCTTCAGTCATAGAATCATAGAATGATTTGGGTTGGAAAGGATCTTAAAGATCATCTAGTTCCTAACCTCTGCCATAGGCAGGGACACCTTTCACTAGTTATTTCTTTTCTTTTATTTCTTCCTATTCTTGCTGACACCATACTTCTGGGACTGATCAAATCACTAGCTGAGAAATTTCTCACAGTCCCCAAAGCTGCCTTGGAGACTCAAAGCACAGATCAGTGGTAAGAAGTAGATGTACCTGTCCTCTGATGAAGCTTTCTATAGCACTTGTGATTTCCAGAGCCTCAGCTCAAATGCTGCTTTCATCTCTCCCTCTTTCCCCTCACCCCCTCTACCCAATGGCTAACTGTCACCTCCCCGGTGCCAACATGAACATTGCCCTATCCTACTCACCTCAGCAACTTGAGTACTCCAGGAGATGGTGGGTTGGGATTTGTCAGCCTCACACTCATCCCTGGCAGCTGTATCTCTGAGAGGCACAGAGGCCGCAGTGTCTGCTGAGATGACTGTAGACGTGTCTTCACCACTTCCAGGGGACAGGTCAGAATGGCTCCAGCTGTGCCACCACATCTAAGGCATAACACCATATTTAAGAATGATCTCTATGCCATAATAGTGCAATAATTCTGACCCTGCTTGTCCACAACCTATCCCCTCTATGAGAGGAGGTTAGGTACTCCAGCCTGTGTCACACATGTCCTCCTGCTCTGACACTGATTAACATAATAAATAATGACTGAGCTTGGGACATCATCTGGCAGCCTCACTCTGAAACCTTACTCAGTATTTGAGACAAACAGTCCCAAGTCCATAGGGACTCAGCAGTCCCCATGAGCAAACATTTCTGCTGTCCAGCCTCATGCAATGCCTTCTGCTGAGATCACCAGGCACCATGTCTCACATCTTTTCTCAACTGCACTGGTTCAGAGAGGGGCAGCACAAAATCCTCCCACCCCTCAGCCTGCCTGTGTCTTCAGCCCATGACCCATTCAGCCCCACATTTGAAAAGCCCTGTAAACCAGATCTGTATTTTCTGCCAACAGCAGGCCTGGGTTCACCCCAAGCCTGACTTGCTTAATGAAAGAGGACCCTGACCTTCAGCAGACAGAAGCTATTTTTGGAACTCGTGAACCATCACCGTCAACCAGTTTAGTCACACCACAGGAATGCTGAAAGGACACATACCCCCCCCTTTTTCCCCTTCTACCACCCAGGGACAAGTCAGAACCAATCCATTCAGTTCTCAGCTTCTGCCTCTTCAGATCCTTTGACTGATAACTCTGTTCTTCTAGAGGATGCTTAGTACATAACACCTGCTACAGCCAAAGTTGCTTTGTTTCACAAAGCTGAGCAAACATTACAACAGGACAACATTTAGAGAAACAGTTGCTTGGTATACTAAAAATTTTTAGCTCTAACAGTGCATAGAGGCACAACTTCATGTAATGTTCTCTTAATATCTCATTCCTTCAAGAAGGCCCTACCTGAGATGCTCAGGATATGAATTCAAACCCATGCTTTCAGTATACAGAAAGGTTTCTTGAGTTCAAGTTCCTCAAGCTACTGATACATATAGATAATACAAAAGAATTATAAAAGCAATAATAAGAGTTAAAGAAATTGTCACTCCTTATCATGGTGGTAATTTAATCAGCCATAAGAGAGTCTGAGGTGAAGGGGGACCTCTGAGCCACTATGGCTTAATGGCAAAGACTAAAGAGGAGCAAAGACCAGTGACTAAACAAAGTTAAGGAAAGGAAGTGTACCAGTTGTTCAAAACTAGAAATCTCAACATGATGTCTTACATGCACTACATGATGATACAGCTGCTCACAACATATGAAAGCATAATTCTTCTGTTTCAGAAGATATGGAAAATTATGTGCCATTACTCTAGAAGCAGGAACAAAAGCAATTCCTGCGAAATATGATGAAGAGCAGCAGTTGACAACCAGTACAACATGTACTCTCAGAGCAAAGCAGTAGCAAGAAAAGCTAATTGAAGAAGGCAGATAATTTTACCTTAGAAAACAGTACTTGCCTCTTGATCTTGCTTTCACATTTTAAAAGGAAAAATTGAAAGTTTGAGGTGACAGAAAAAGAGGATTAGTTGAGAAATACGAAAATCACCATTAAAATTTTTTCACTGATCTGAAAAGTGTATAAACTGATGCACAGATGTGACAAGGTTTACTGCTAATTCACATTTTAGCTCTCACTTAGTCTGGCCCAAAACTGAGATGGCTTGAAGATCTTCATTTAAGAATAGCAATGCAAGGTCAGACAAATCTGCAGCTAAATCAGACTGCATCCTAGGACATGGGAAAATAAAGGTCACCTGCAGAAGAGTAGGAGATATACTCATGTCCAGAACACTTACAGCAATTTTCAGTTCAGAGATTTCCTCAGCTAGAAATGTTGACTTGCATTTAATAGCCCTCAACACATTCTTTTTCATTCATCTTTTAAAAATGCTTTCTAGACATATATAAAGCCCTTACCCTCTACTATCCTGCAGCAAGGAGTCTCAGTGTTTAATCACACACTGTGCTAAGAACTAGGCTCTTGCACTAGTTTTGAAGAAACCTCTCAGGTTTCATTGGATGGTCCCCAGTTCTTGCACAAGAAGATAAAGTGAACAACTGTTCCTTCGTGAACGAGATCCTGTTTCACTACGTTAAACAATAATATTAACTATATACTGCAGCAATAAGCTGAACTTCTCATTCATCTTTTATTTACCTTATTCATCCCTTGGGTTTTAATTTGAGGATTATTGCTTAATGGACAAGGACACAACACTGACAAAAGTTCCCACTAGTGACATTCTTGTCACTGGCCAAACTCTCATAGTTTTTCAGGAACCATGGCAGAAAATGAGAATTGGGAGGAGTTTGAGAAGAAAGCTGAGAAAAAAAGAGTATATTAAGAAAGGCTAAGATGACTATATAGTTCAAAGGATAAATTAATAATTAAGAATAACATATACAGAATAACATTGGGAACAGAGAGGACAAGTACATATAAACAAAGATTGACATAGCACAATTGCATTGGCTGCAGAAAGCTGGAAATTTACTGTTTAACAGCAATTAAATTATATGCCTTATTGGACAAGCTGTATCACAGGCTTCACTGTCTCACAGACTTCAACAGGCTGGTAGAATTTGGAAGGGGATTAGGTGGTTGCCTAAGCAAGGGAGTTCTGCAGTTACTCAGCAAAGTCCAGAGGACCACAATATCTTCTGCTTTAGGGCATCATAAACTTTAAGCTCATTGTTTTGAGACTGTAAAGAGAGGCAGGATGAAATGCCATGTAAGAAGGGACTTGCTCAAGGGCATGCGTCGAAATCAGAGGCACTGCTGGGATCCAAACATCTGACTCACCAGAATCAGCCGCACTATTTAAAGCCAGAAAAGACACACAGGAATCTCAGCCATGCCATGATGGAGAGTTGGCTGCCCTCTCAAAGGCATGGATGCTTGACCACTCGCTCCACTGAAGAAGCCTCGTGGTGCCTCTTACTGCCCCGGTCAGTCCTGCTTCCCTTGACCCTCATTCTCAGCAAGCTCAGGCTGGATGAAAAGCCTCCCGTTCTTCCCAAACCGCGGAGCCAGACATTGACCCCGGCGCTACGTGGCTGTGCCATAGCAATCAGCCCACATTCGAACCCGGCACGGCCAAGAACACGCGGCTGAGGACCGTAGGGCACAGGCAACGCCCGGAGCAGGACAGGGCAAGGAGCTCTTCGGCAGCTGCTCCTGGATCTGCCG